ACCACCATCCTCGACTCAAGAAAGAAGGTGCCCATGAACGGCCGTGTCTATCTGCGAGCTATTGTCCCTATCGGTATCTTCTTCAGCATGAGTTTGATCTGCGGTAACCAGGCCTACTTGTACCTGAGTGTTGCCTTTATTCAGATGCTCAAGGTATGTCGACATGATTCTACAGTCAACACAAAGATGCTAACTTTACAAGGCTACTATGCCCGTCGCTGTCTTGCTCACCACCTGGGGTCTTGGTGTTTCGCCTGTCAATCTGAAGACGCTCGGAAACGTGTCCTTCATTGTCATTGGTGTCGTTGTTGCCTCGATGGGTGAGATCAAGTTTGTCATGACTGGTTTCCTGTTCCAGGCTGCTGGTATCGCTTTCGAGGCTATCCGCTTGGTCATGGTCCAGCGTCTGCTCAGCGGCGCCGATTTCAAGATGGATCCCCTCGTCTCCCTCTACTACTACGCCCCCGCCTGCGCTGTTATCAACGGTGCCATCTTGCTCTTCACTGAGCTCCCTTCGATGACCATGGCTGACATCGACCGCGTCGGTCTCTTCACCCTGTTGGCCAACGCCTCCGTTGCCTTCTTGCTCAACGTCTCTGTCGTCTTCCTGGTACGTTCATTGTTTACACCTGCACAAAACACACCTGCTCACAAGTTTCCAGATTGGCAAGACCTCGTCGCTCGTCCTCACTCTGTCCGGTGTACTCAAGGACATTCTCCTCGTCTTCGCCTCCATGTTCCTCTTCAAGGACCCCGTCAGTCTTCTCCAGGCCTTTGGTTACAGCATTGCGCTCGGTGGCCTCGTTTACTACAAGCTTGGTGGTGAGAAGCTCAAGGAGTACCTCGGCCAGGGTAGCATGAAGTGGCAAGAGCTCGGCCACAGCAGGCCTGTTCTCCGCAAGCTCATGGTTTTCACCGCCGTCATCATCTCCATGTTCTTCATCTTTGGCTCCCTTGGACCACGTTATGCCCCCGAGTCAACCAACCAGGTCTACAACGGTATTGGCAAGCTCATTGGCGACAAGGCTGTATAAAGCGCTTTTCAATAACTAGTGCACGCTATCAGAAGTCTTCCGCACGTCTGTCGACGCACTTTGCTACCATGTCGCGCCTTCTTCTTCTTTTCTTGTCTTTTTATTGTCAACTTGGAGCAGGCTCGAGGTGTATGGTGATTGGTATGATACATATAGACTAGTGGGTTTCTCTCAGCCAGAGTGAGCCTGCTTTGGGAAGCTCGTTGGTTCAGGATGGAGCTTTGGGCACAATAGGGAAACGATGAAGTGATGCGTTTTTGTCGGATATAGATCTTGCAGGCATTCACAGCGACTGCGAGCGAAAGGTATATACCTTCTAGCCACATAATGATAATGCTTGTGAAGCAAATGATTCTTTTTCGTGTGATGAGATGCAACCTCAAGTGTGAACAAGTCAACCCAGTCAATCAGCTTCGAGGTAGATAGTGAAGAAAAAAGTGCTTGTTGGACTTCTCAAGCTTCGCTTCATGTCTCTCCCTTTTCTATACCAACGCCCTACATTTATCCACATGGTATGACTACTGGTAATCCAGACAACATCACCAGAGAACGATAACCCAGGGTCCTAAACGTCATCCACCGTTTGTAGATCCAGCGGAGATGCTGACCAGCGCTAGCGAGGGCACTTTGGAGGCGCGTGCAGGTGGAGTTGCAATGTCCTCGCTTCGCACGGGCCACACCACGCCAAGTCTGGCCTATTTCGCAATTTCGTGTTCGCGAGAACTTCACTTCTTCAGTCGTTACTAACCCCCAGCACAACACGCTCAAAATCAGTCAAAATGGGAATTGACCTCGACCGCCACCATGTTCGAGACGGGCACCGCAGTATGTGAACCCCCCGTCGAGTCGGCGCAGAAATGCGCTGGCGATAGCAGTCTTTTAGACGCAACATGAGCCCGAGAGAGGAGAGAGATTGACGAGTATACAGAGGTCCCTAAGTCCACCAACCCCTACGTCAAGCTGTTGGTGCGTCTGTACAAGTTCCTGGCTCGTAAGTACTCCGACTGGAATCGCGCGCACAATCTGTGCTAACTGTGAACAGGCCGCACCGATGCCCCCTTCAACAAGACCGTTCTGCGACGCCTCATGATGTCCAAGACCAACCGTCCCGTAAGACGCCAATGGCACCAAAGCCTGTCGACATAACAACTGACATGATACAGCCGGTCTCCCTCTCCAAGATCGTCTCCAACGCCAAGGGACACGACGGCAAGACCATTGTCATCGTACGGCTTCCGAATACTACACCCCCGATGACTAGCTAACTCAGGATCAGGTCGGTACCGTCACTGACGACAACCGCATGCTCGAGCTCCCCAAGCTCTCCGTTGCGGCTCTCCGCTTCACTGCCTCCGCTCGCGCGCGCATTGAGAAGGCTGGTGGTGAGACCCTCACCATCGACGAGGTTGCCACTCGCTCCCCCACTGGTTCCAACACCCTCCTCCTCCGTGGACCCAAGAACGCCCGTGAGGCTTTCAAGCACTTCGGCTTCGGTCCCCACTCTGGCAAGAAGCCTTACGTCGAGAGCAAGGGCCGCAAGTTCGAGCGTGCCCGTGGTCGCAGAAGGTCTCGTGGTTTCAAGGTCTAAGCGTGTGCTACAAGTGGTTCGGTTTCTCTGGTTTGGCGTGGTCAAGGTCATGGGAATTCACTTATGAGGCGTGCATCATGACTAGGAATGGCCCTTTGAAGGCCTATAAAAAGATACTCGATGCTCAACATAAAATGAAAGCATACGAACGGGCTCTTCGAGCTCATGGTCAACCCATGAATATCAGTACCCCATCGTGAAACAGGCGTATTTAGTGATGTATTGCAATGTTTTTAGTACTGTACAACTTTTTACTGGACTACTTTTCCGCATTCGGTAACCAAGGATACAATCACTGATGTCGGGATCTTTGTGTCAAATTTTCTTGCGGTTCCCCCGCATCCAACCAACCAGAGCGCTAGCAACTCTCACCCACGTAATGACCCAACCTAGTCACTGCAGCACGGCAGTGACTTGAACATCAACATCTGCAAAATGGTCGACACTCGCAAAGTTGGTGTACTGGGCGGAGGCCAACTCGGTCGCATGCTCATTGAAGCCGCAAATCGCTTAAACATTCAAGTCAACGTACTGGACGCGGCAGCAACACCCGCAAAGCAGATCTCGGCGCACAGTGGACACATTGAGGGGTCTTTCAAGGATGCGGCTGCTGTAAAGCAACTTGCGCAATCTTCCGATGTCGTTACCGTGGAAATTGAGCACGTGGACACCCACATGCTCGAAGAGGTTGCTGGAGAGGTCGTTGTTGAACCCAGTTGGAAGACACTGCGAACGATCAAAGATAAATATGCGCAAAAGCAGTATCTGAAAGAGCATGGAGTCGATGTCGCCGACAGTATTGATCTTGAGGGTAAAGGAATCGAGGGACTCAAAGAAGTGGGGTCATCGTATGGATATCCCTTCATGCTTAAGAGCAAGACAGAAGCCTATGATGGCAAAGGAAACTTTGTGGTCAAGAGCGAGGCAGATGTTGGTGCGGCGTTCGAAGCATTGGGCAAGCGACCGCTTTACGCAGAGCGATGGGCTGACTTTAGAATGGAGCTGGCAGTCATGATTGTCAAGACCAAGGATGGAGTGCTCACATTTCCCACCGTAGAAACTGTACACGAGGACAGCATCTGCAAGCTCACATATGCGCCTCCACGAAACGTATCAGAAAATATTACACAGCAAGCTCAAGAGCTGGCTAAGAAGGCTATCGGCGCCTTCGAAGGCAAGGGTGTCTTCGGTGTCGAGATGTTCCTCCTCAAGGACGATCGCCTACTCATCAACGAGATTGCGCCTCGTCCACACAATTCCGGTCACTACACAATCGAGGCCTGCCCAATCTCACAATACGATGCTCACCTTCGCGCGATCCTCGACCTCCCAATCTCACAATCCAACCTCCGCCTCCGGGAACCTGCCATTATGCTCAACATCCTCGGCGGCAAGACACCAGACTCCCACGTCCAGGTAGCAAAAAAAGCCCTCGACTCTCCCAACGCCTCAATCCACCTCTACGGCAAGGGGGACGCACGTCCAGGCCGCAAAATGGGCCACATCACCGTAACAGCACCCACGCTCGCCGCCGCCGAGCGCGAAATCCAACCCCTCATCGACTTTGTCGACACCCAAAAGGGTAAAACTGTCGACCCCCAAAACACCGGCACCAACAGCAAAGAAGACCCTCTCGTCGCTGTAATCATGGGCTCAGACTCCGACCTCCCCGTCCTCCGCGCCGGCCTCGAAATCCTCACCAAACTCCAAATCCCCTTCACCACACGCATCACCTCTGCCCACCGCACCCCGGACTGGCTCCGCGAATTCTCAAAATCCGCATCCCAGACTTCCCTCAAGGTCATCATCGGCGCGGCTGGCGGCGCTGCCCATCTCCCTGGTATGTGCGCGTCCTGGACTACGCTGCCCGTCATTGGGTTGCCGGTCAAGGCTACGCATATGGATGGATGGGATAGTCTTGTTAGTATGACGCAGATGCCACGAGGTGAACCCGTGGCTACGGTTGGTATTAATAATTCGACGAATGCGGCGCTGCTTGCTGTCAGGATCTTGGGCGCAGAGGATAAAGCGATTCGCGAGCGGTTGAGGGTGTGGATGGTGGGGAATGAGAAGGAGGTGTTGCGTAAGGATGGTTTGTTGGCTGAAGGGGGGTGGGAGGCGTATTTGAAGGGTATGGGAAAATGATAGTAGTGTCACACGAATGAGATTTTGGGGGAGATCAAAAAATAAAATGTTAACGAGATTAGAATATCATTGTTTATTTTTTTTAAAATAAAAATACAACATTTCAATCTCTTTTCCATCTTTTTTCTCTCTGTTGTTTTTTTCATCTTCCACCACACTTTCCAAACTCCACTCCATCTCGACTCTAGGAGAGAAAAAAAAACACAACAAAATATCTATACTACTATGTTACTTTAGTAAGCAGCGTAGTTAGAGTAGCTCTCAGACGACTTGTCACCGCTGCCGTAAGCACCGGAGCCAGATGAGTACTCGTTGTTAGAAGGAGTGTTCTCGTAGGCGGCCGGGGTGGGGGTAGCGGCGGGCTGGTAAGCTACCGGGGTGGAGACAGCTGGGGCAGGCTGGTAGGCAGCTGAGGAGGAAGCGGCTGGGTACGAGCCGTAGGCAGCTGGGCTGGAAGCGGGTTGGTAGGCAGCTGGGGAAGAAGCAGCTGGGTAGGAACCGTAGGCGGCGGGAGAAGAGACGGCGGGAGCAGGCTGGTAAGCGGCTGGGGAAGAAGCAGCTGGGTACGAGCCGTAAGCAGCTGGGGAAGAGGCAGCTGGGTGAGAGCCGTAGGCGGCAGGGGAGGAGACTACGGGGTAGGAGTGCTCGTAGGCAGCTGGGCTGGAAGAAGCAGGGTATCCAGCAGGCTGGGTCTTGTAGGCAGCAGGGGCGGTGGAGCTCTCGCAAGGAGTGGAGCTGGCGCTGGATCCGTAGTGCTCAACGGGGGCAGAGGAGGTGCTTCCAACGGGGTAGTGGGCAGCGGGGGTGGAGTAGGCCTGGACGGGGACGGTGCTCATGGTAGAGGCGGAGTAGGCACCGTAGTTGTTTCCGCCGTAGTGGGCTGGCTTGGAGTGGACGGCAGCTGGGCTGGACGCAGCTGGGTAGGAGCCATAAGCAGCTGGGGAGGAGGCAGCTGGGTAAGAGCCATAAGCGGCGGGGCTGGAAGCAGCTGGGTAGGAGTGCTCGTAGGCAGCCGAGGAAGAGGAAGCTGGGTAAGATCCGTACGCAGCTGGGGATGAAGCAGCTGGGTAGGAACCGTAGGCAGCAGGAGTGGAAGCAGCTGGGTGAGAGCCGTACGCAGCTGGGCTAGAGGAAGCTGGGTAAGAGTGCTCATAGGCAATGGAAGAGCTGTTGTGGGCTGGGTAAGAGCCGTAGTTGCTTCCACCGTAGGTCTTGCCGTGTCCAGGGACCATGGGGGATGGAGTAGCCTTGGTCTTCTCATACTCGCAAGTGTAAGCCTGGCCAGCAGAGGTGATGGTGACAGTCTGGGCTGGCTGGTGGTAGACACCAGCATCGTAGTGCTGGGCAGTGGGGTAGGTGACCTCAGTGTCGTGGTCGTAGACGGTGGTGGTGGGCTTGGTGACCTCGTAGGTACCGGTGGTCGAGGCGTAGATGGTGGTGTACTCGATGACAGTCTCGGTCATGGTCTTGCCACCCTCAACCTTGGTCTTGTAGCCAGCGTAGGGGGCGGTGATGTAGCCAGTCTGAGTGGCAGTGACGGACTGTCCACCGTAGGTGCAGGTCTCACCAGCCTTGGCAGTGGTAGTAGCTTCAGCAGGGTGGTCGACAGGGTGGTCAACTACCATGTCCTTGCTGGGGACGACGTAGACACCAGGCTTCTCGTAAACCTTGACCTCTGGCTTGGGCTCGCCATAGGAGTAGACGTGATCGTACTCGGACCACTTTCCGCCCTTGTACTCCTTGACGTGAACGGGCTGCTCCTTGTCACCCTTGGTGTAGAGACCAGAGCCACCGTATCCGGGAAGAGCCTTGGGGCCAAGGTTCTTGTATGGAACCTCCTCAATCTTCTCATAGAGCTCGTACCAGCAGCCAGCAGTGCCGTTCTTGGAGGCGGTGCCAGTGGGGGCGGCATAGCCACCAGTTCCAGTAGCAGAGTGAGTGATGGTCGTCTTGGTGTGGTAGACAACGACTGGCTGCTCAGTGTTGGTGACGGTAGCGTAGTTGTTGTCGTAGTCCTTGATGACAGTGGAGACGTAGGTGTCCTCTCCCCACTTGGCACAGTCCTTCTCGCCATAAGCAGGAGTCACACAAGTGGGGTACGCCTGGTTCTGGGTGGTCACGGTGACAGGCTGCTTGCCATAGCCGGGAACAACGGTGGTGTAACCGACGGGGGTTGCGGTTGTGCTTGGCTCGACGCTGGAGTGAGCATCGGCACCATATCCGCCGTAGGCCTGGTGGGCTGCGGCGGTGGCAGCGAAGATGATGGCGTACTTCATTGTGATGAATTAGTAGAGTTAAGTATTACGTATAAATAAAGATCGTGGATAACGAATGACTGGGGTAAGTTGATAAGGAAAAAAGGAATGTCGTCGTCACTCGAGAGTGCGAAAGATGTTGATTGATTGAGAGGATCGTGAAGATGGAGAATGTATGAAGAGAAACAATGATACATATATACTCACCTGAACAAGCAGAGCTCGGTCTCGGACAGACTTGCCCCTGAGGTTGCAAAAGCTTCCATCGTGCCCTTGATTCGATCTGCACCCGTAGCGCTACCGCATTGAACGAGACCCGCTAGGCACTCTTGAGTCTGATGCCGTTGCGAATACGATATGCAAGCTTTCAGGCACAAGGCTGAAACTCGAACTGATGCCCTACATCTGTGCAGCCTTGTGAGACTCCATATCTACTTGGAGACTTGCTTTTGCATCATTGGAGGTAGCTCTTCTTCCATTGATTGATTGTTTGCTCAGTAGCTTCGTGAGTTTTCGATTCCACAGGCAACGACTTGAACATCCGGGTATTCCGTTGTGCATGGGATGAGTCGCAAAAGCGAGTCATGGAATTCAAGACATCCCTTTCTGTGTGGATGTATTTCCACATTGCCAGGTCGTTGGAGTCGAGTGCTAGCTGCCGAGTGCTAGTTGGGTGAAGCGTCGTTGTTCATGGCACCAGTATTGCCTGTCTATAGGCCTAGACTCTATGGTCTCAGCGCTTTGAGCCGTCAATAGCGCGAACTTCAAGATCGGCATCGCGTATACTCGTGCGTCCCTCGTACGTCTCGAGTCTGAGTTGGTGGGTAGACTTGACATCAGCTCGCAGCAGACAGACAGCGAAGCCACCAGCGTTTACGCTCGAACATTGTCGGAAGACTTCAAATACAGTTCGTACTTGTCAAACCTGTCCAATGCGAGATACGTGGTAGCGCCTAGCATGGCAAATGCTGTTCAACCCCGCAGCGATTGAAGCCAGGACCAAGATGCGTGTTCGCTTATGGTGTTCGCCAAAGAACAGACCCTCATAGGGGATGCGCCACATTCATTCTCGCCCTAGCGTCCCCCATTTGGGGCGTCTAGCGCACGCTTGCCCGTATACAGATATGCCAAAGCGGCGCAGCAAGGCTATCGTGGGCTCCTGCTTCTACTATTGGGTTATTGGTTTCTTAATGACCCTTTTTTGAAGCCCCATAAATGTTTATCTGGATTGCATAGGGTCAGCTTAAAGAGACAACGATGCTAGGGGTAGTAGGATTATGAACGAGGACGAAGTCGTGCACACGGTAGTGAACAAGGGCGAAAGGGGTTGAGCCTCAAATCCGAGTGGCTGCTATTTTGGCGACCACGTCTAGCATAGCATAGTCACCTAAGTCGTTCTTCCCGCCTGGCGCCCACTAGAGATGGGACAGTGACAAGCTGACACCAACGTTGGAAACATCGTGCTGACCTGTACCGAAATCAACACCTGCAGCTGTACAAAAATACGAACCGCCACAGGACTGTGGAGATTTGACAAGAGTGCATCGGTTCACTCCACAACCGTATTGGCTGTTCTTCGCGCTAGCCGCTAGTATTTCAGCTACAATGACTATGGGGAATTGCGCTGAAGTCTGTTTCCGATGCTTCGGTATGTACGTAGGTCCGAGGCTAACTAATAATAAGACTTTCGCTAGGCAATGCCGTTGCACAGCTTAAGTCCACGGCGCACTCGCTTCTCGAGTAAGTCTGCCCGGAACTCTCCTTGCATGAGGTAACGGTACAGCATAAACCCCTGAGCAACTTGCATGCGGCTGAGTACGTACCTGCAGCAGGCCCTCTGGCTTTGCTTCAAAGTCCCCACGAATAGAAACTAACACCACAGCCTCATGTATGTTGTTTCCTGGCTCGTGTCCCACATTAGCGACAGTGGCTGATTGTCGTTGGCCCAGCTGCTGTATCGTTTGAGGATGCTGCCAGCAATTGCATTGTGGCTGTTAGGCAGCAGCCGTCGATTGACCATACAGTAGGCCACGTGAGTGTGTGAAGCCCCTTATCATCTGCATACACGACTTTGGATCTCCAATATCACACTGGCACCCAGTCGTAAATGGTGCTGAAAAGGGGTGCAGCTCCAATTGCAAGTTTGTCTGGGTTCGCGGGTTTACGTAGCTGTCTAAAGCTGATATTAACTTCACACAATAATCCAAGTGCATGGGAGTAAGGTTAGAGACAACCAATTGTGACCAGGTACACTTTTCTGGTAACCAGGGCAGTTTCTTGTCCACTTGTTTCAGTCCACATATGTATGATATGATGTGGATGGGGCACGCCACACCAACCATTTATTGTCGCTCGTCAGCCGCAGTCGGATGATAGACGGGCCGGAAGGTGGGACGGGCAACACCAAAGGGATAGTAGCTGAGTGACGCCTAGCACTACCTGTTACTCTGGCACTCTTGTATCAAGCTGACAGCCCATGAGGAGGCTGAAATTGGGTGTAGCTGAAGCCACATGTTGCTCTGGCTGCCCTAACTAGTGGTAGCCAAAGATGTCAATCCTTACTATGTGACAGAAACGGTAACTAGACAAGAGCATATCTGACACCTTTTTCCAAATTGGAGACACAGTAGTGAGGATCATCAAAGCCAGGCATATTGCTTTTTTTGTGCTACCTAGGAAGTAGTCGCCCAAGTTCCATCTATTACCATAGTAGTGAACAATGACGAAGTCAAGATCATGTGCCTTGGCGTGAAAGAAGACCAGATTTCGTCTCTCTAACAATTATCTCGGCTGCTTTCTCAGCGAAAGCGTAGACAGCGGTCAGAATATTCCCCCGTGGGATGATTGGCAAGACACTCGCATCGCAAATCCTCACATTCTTCGTCCCGTATACAGTAAGCCGCTCGTCAACTACGCCACCTAGATCTTCCCTCATCATAGAACAAGTACCGCACGGATGGTAGTTCGTCGCGGAGTTTATTGGGAGGATGCCTTTCGCGTCTTCGAGTGATGTTACCGGATGGGGGAAGCTTCGAGGCAATCTTCTTCCGTCCGGCTTTGTCATGGCAGCAAAGGTAGGCTTCTGGAAGAGCTTTTCAATGAGACGCAAGTGACGAGCCAGTATCTCCGTATCGAGAGGGTGAGAAAGGTAGTTGAATCTTATCTCGGGCTGATCTGAAGAAGTAGGCGAGGTATGACAGCTTCCGCGCGAAAAGGGATGGGCCAGCATTGCAACAACGGTTATGTAGTTGCCATCGACAACAGATGGTGTGCCTTTGGGAAGTGAATCAGCATCTTTGTGACGTTGTGTACGCAGCATGAATAAGGTGGCCGTTGCTTCACTGGGACTTTCGACTATCTTCTGAATGATGGAATACTGGGTCTTTAGACTTGGGTTACTCTCGTTCTTCACCCAGTGCTCGACTATGTTGATAAGCTCCTGTGTCTCCGATGGGGTTTCCAGCATCTGTAGTGGTGTAAAGGCAAAGCTATATGCGGCCCCTTCGGACACTCGACCAGTGTGGCTTTTTTCGTACTCCAACAATGCGGCCTTTTGCAATTCGGGGTTTCGCATTATTTCGTCACGAGTAGGGATTTCATCTTGGGTTTCGCACGACAAGCTGCAGTTCAGATGATCCTGTAAGTTTTCACCGACCCCTGGGAGCTCGTACAGGATGGGAATATTGGCGTCTGCAAGAATCTTTTTGGATCCGATACCTGATCGTTCCAAGATAAGGGGAGACTCGAATGCGCCTGCACCGAGAATTATTTCTCGGCCACTGACAAGATGTTCTTCCCCCTTGTATGTGTAGTGGACACCTCTCGCATTGAGTTTTCCATCAGCAGTCAATGGCTCATCGAATGCAATCTTATCGACCTTTACGCCAGTCTTCAATGTAACATTGCCACGTCCCAAGGCAGGTTCCAGATATGCTGTACCTGCATGGCTTCGTTCGCCTTTTGAAGAATCAATCGCGTTGGTGACATTGACTGCTCCGGCGGAGCTCTCAGTAAACCCTGTAGCCCTCGTCGGACAACCAAGCTCCTCAAAAGCTTCGACCCACCGAGTTTGAAGCAGATCCCAGGTACGCGGGTATGATGTTTTCACACGGTCCGGAGATGCCCCATTGTCATTTACTGCTGGACTGGACTGTTCAGTCTGCCATCTTCTGTAGCAATCACTCATACCCCGTGAGCCCCACTCTTCTCTCCCCGCATCTGACAGAAGCTCCTCCGCCATACGGTCATGCCATTCGTGGTTAGGAAACACCACACTGTGACTATTAATTGCACTGCTACCACCCACCAGCTTTCCCCTGGGATGGTCAACCTTCCTGTTATACAAACCCGGCTCCAGCGCAGAAGAGTATCGCCAATCGTAAGCGGGGTCTGACAGTAGCCTCGTGGCTAGACCAGGTATCTGCACTTTAGGATCATTTCGGATATGTTCTCCAGCCTCTAGAACAAGAATCCGGTGGTCAGGTAGCTGTTGCGAGAGACGTGACGCGATTAAGCAAGAAGCTGATCCGGCTCCGACGAGGACGAAGTCGTAGACCTCAGCATCCGTGTGGAGGGGTTTTCCCGGCATGGTTGATGTAGAGATGGCGAATGCTGCAAGACTGGAGATTTAAGGTTACAAAGCTATTTAAGGCGACCAGTCAAGCACGGCTAAGCAGCACGCCATAGGCTTAGCGACAGACAAGCATGCTGGTATACTAGCAGATATAGGAAGGTGTAGGCAATCATCAGTGAGAGTTGTATGCACCTCGTGCTTAGGGCATTGGTTGAAGAGGAAGGTGAGTAACATCACCACTGTTACTCTAGCAGTGTTCATGTACTGTCTGGCGCGATATAGACAAGTGTGCTTTTTCGAAACTTTAGTTACATATCAATGATTTTGTAAAGGTCTCTGCATATACAGAAACATCGATAACGAGGTACCTAATCTGTCTCGCACTTTAATTTGAGCTATTCATACCTCTTCTCATTTCTCACATCTCTATTCAGTTTCCATCTCTCTGTTTCAATTATACCTTACAAAGTAAAGATAGAGAATTAAACGTATAGAGAAATGGCAGTAGAATGATGGAGAGAAAGAGACGGAAAGTGTACCACTCCAACACTTCTTCTAGTTTCCTAATCAGGAATATGTATGCTTAAGCATAGATACTTGTCTTTCATAGTAGACGCATCTGCAAACTTCACACCGAATGTCTCTCACTAAAAAAGATAAATCTCCATCTGTATCATATAACGCTACGACTTTTCTCCCGCCCACCCACATCACTGCCTACATGACAACTAAACTCTACAGTAGTGTTTGATCCCTAACAGTACACAATGATTGTACTAATTCTCCTTGTCTCTCCCCTTTTGATCACAATCTGCAGTATTTTTTGCCAAGCAAGTCAGCAGGTGCTCTCAATACTCAACAACCACAATTCTAGAAAGAAAATTCAGGTTTACATAGAATGTGTAAGTAAAAACACTCTTCAATGCGTTTTGCTCATCTCTTCCTTCTCCAGACTAGTAGTTCTAACAGTTGTTGTGAACTACATTCTAAACTTTAATCCAACAAATGTAGGAATGATTACGTTCAGGAGTTAAAAAAAATTGATGTCGGGCCAGGGTCGAAGACTTCCTACCATAATGACTCAACGGATAACGAACCAAACAGTTCCTGGATCTGCGTTGAGTGGTGGGATGCTCCTGTAAGTGCCTCAGATAAGCAGTGGTCGGTGCGGACTTCTTAATCACAACAAGATTCAAATACGACAGTATGCTAGCTACATGTAGCATGGCTAATTGTACCAGAAAATTTGAGTAAATTCACAAGACCCATGAATCACGCTTCGTAAAGAGATACCGCAAAACTCCCGCACGGAGACTGAAGGCCAAAACTAGTGGTGTAACTAATCTTACGGATACGACGATGACTTGAGTCATGCCACTCGGTGTTAAACAACTCGCTTGACTCTCGTTAAATGTATCTTACGGATGCAATAGTTCAGTCAACTTAATTCTGAATATTGCGAAGAAGTAGAATCTACTTTCCTGATACATCGACCTATAGTATCATCATGGTGCCCAGACTCTTGGCTAAAATGCCTAAAAAGACTGCTGTTAGCCCGTACTACTTTGTATGACGTAGTACTACAAGAGATCTCACCAAAACTGATAGAAGTCGTTTTCTTCTAGACATGTACATGAAGATAGAGCCGGTAGATGCTAAACACGTAGTGAGCCTCACAAACGTGGCAACCCCGGTCGCCATACTTTGGTGCGCCCAGTCCGGCGCCCAGCCCGCTGAACCTAATTGGCCGTGTAACAACCTTGGAACTTCTTACCTACGTATGCGTCGGCCATGCAGGGAGGCTGACGCCGGACCTTTGAGGCGCAATACCAACACAGTACGCGTCTCATATCTCTCGGCCATTTACCCAAGTCCCGAGCTATGTAGTCGCACTCACCAGCCTCAGTGTGGGAATTTCCTTTCTCTTCTTCTATCCAACCAAAGACGCAAGGATCCTCAATGCCATACACCCCATCGTATGCGCAAGCCGTGAAAGTCGCATTCCGTCCAGATGACAGCATCAAATACCGCAATGAGTCGCAGCACGCGACCATCATTCGACAGCGACTTTTCTCTCTCCGACGACGACGACGAGGAATCGCAATGCCGCCAAACCTGTCGTCCACGAAGTCGCATTCAAACCGTGAAATACCTCTCTTTCCTCACCCTCGTCGTATCCCTCATCTTCTACCTCACACACACGCCATCCCCAGCACCCTCCCCACCAATCCTCGCTTCAACCCCACTCCTCTCCTCAGACCCCTCCACCACTCTTCCTCAAGACAGTACCAAATTCTCTTCCAAAATCGGCAAAGCAACCGCCTCCTTCGGCCCCAAAGATAGCACCTACGAAGCCGCAATCTCATCCCACCACACCCACGACACGCAACACGGCTACCCGCACTTCATCCTACGCGAACGCATGCTCCCCGGCCTCTGGTCCAAACATGCCTTCCTCCTCACCCTCATCGGCACCGAACTCTCCAAACCAGCCCAGGACCGGCTTCACTGGCTCTTCTGGCACGACCGCGATACCATTCTCATGAACCCGCACATTCCCCTTGAAATATTCTTACCGTCCCCGGAAAAGGATTTGGGGCCCAATAAGACGGGTAAAGATGTCAATTTAATAGTTACGAATGATCGGCATGGGCTGAATAATGGGGTTTTCTTTATAAAGGTTGGCGAGTGGGCAGTACGGTTTTTGAGTGCGAGTTTGAGCCTGAGGGAATGGGATGAGGGAGTGAAGTTGAAGTATTCAGAGCAGAGTGCTATGGAGATTGTGGGGGGACGGGTACGTTTCTTTCCTTTTTCTTCTCTTTTTAAACCCCCCTCTTTCACTCCCCCCCCCTCCCCCTGCGTGACCATACTTCCCTTGTTCATACTCACACAAGGATGATTTTTTTTTTAAAAAAAAAGATGAAACTGACATTGACAAATTTTTTTTTACCAGCCTCACTTCTCCCAAAATATCATTCACGTCCCCCAACGCTGGTTCAATGCCTACCCACCACCCCCTTCTCCCACCTCTGCACCCCCATCTGCCGCTCCCTCCGCAGCACGCAAAGGATCGCTTCTAATCCATTTCGCGTCGAACCGTGACGGCAAGCGACCCGAGCGCATGGCCCAGTGGCAGCAGCTCGCGACATCACGCGGTAACGAATGGGCGAAGCCCCTAAACTCGACACAGTACGTTGGTGAAATCGACGAGTTCTGGCGGAGATTGGGCGAAGGCGAGGATGAAGAAGGTGTGATTGCGGATATAGGGGGTAGAATATGGGATTGAATGACGAAAATCAAGAAGAGTGGAAATTTCTCAATTGCGGGTATATATATATATATATAAAAGACAACGCTATACTAATAAACATGAAGTAGAGGAAGAAAAAAAAAGGAGGAAAAGGGGGGGGAAAGTGTGGATTGCTAAACACTCATTTCAATGCCACCATCCCTCGTACTCTCAGGCACGCGCACAATACTACTTCGAATCACGCTTCTCGCCTCTTTATCCGCTGCATCCTGTGCTGCTGCTGCTGCTGCTGCACGGGCGAGTAAAGGGGAGCGATGGGTCCAGATGCCGCCTGCATTTACACTTGGAGGAGGAGGAGGACCAGATGCAAGCGCTTCTCTGACGTCGACTGCGGAATCCACGATACCGAGTCCATGGACTCTATCACCCAGGTCCGACATGGCATCAACTTGCTGATGCTGCTGCTGCTGCTGCGGCGGCGGCGGCTGCTGTCGCGTCCTTCGGGCCGCATACGACATCTGTTCCATCGAACCCGGAAGATAAATCCGCTTTGCACCAAGCGTGCGTTTGATATCTTCAAGTAGCACTTCCATGGGACAAATATACGCGATACGGTTTTTGTGGCAGAAAGCAAGGACGTGGCCGACGACTTTGTGTTTACCATTCTGCACGACCCACGCACCGCTGTCGCCACCGACGCCAAAGTCGCCGGCGACGTGCCAGGAGCGGGAGAAGGATTTGCGGTGGTAGATGCGCACGGCGGACATGACGGAGCTGATCATACCGCCTTGGAGGCCGGTTGTGCGGCCGAAGCAGTGGACGGCGAGGCCGCCGAGGGAAGAGGCGGGTGCGACGCCGTTGGGGTACTCGTCTTCTTCGGGCGTGTATTGGCGGCGGTCCACGGGCGACTTGAGTTTAGAGGCTATGATGCGCTGTTCGGGGGTCATGTTGCCGAAGCAGAAGCGGCGGCCGCCTTGGCAGATGTTGTAGGGTTGGAGTCGGTCTTCTTTGAGCTTGAGGAGCGCCCAGTCGATTTCGTGGAGGATACCATCGCGCTTCCAGCGACGGATGCCGGAAGAGGCGTGGACGTGGCCTAGTTCGTGGGAGGAGAGATGGTCGTCGTCACGGTCTTCTTCGTTGGGAAAGAAATCTGGGTCTACGTCGTCAAGGGCTGGCTGGGTAATTCGGATCTCTTCGCCCTCGCCGGGCAGGATGCCATCGATATCGCCTGTAGTTGCACGTGACATGGCAGACTCAGCCATGTCTATCCTTGGTTAGTTTGATGGCCGTATGGCGAAAGTTGTCAACATACCCTCAGCGGATTCATCGTCGGATTCGAATTCGCTGTCGGAAAAATCAAACGAGTCAGCGTCGACCTCATCGTCTTCGCTCCTTAGGTCTTCATCATCAGATAGTTCAAGATTCCACATAGGAGCAGGCTCCTCTGACTCCAAGTAAACACCTGGCTGCGTGCCCATACCCATCAGCCAGGGGTTGTTGGCTGCACTTGACAACGTGGTTTCGTTTGGGTATGGCCTATCGTAATCTTCGCCGCCGTCACTCTCATCGTCTGATGGCGCATCGAGCAGGTGGTGGACACTCATACCCAATGGCTCATCATCGACTAGAATAACTCCACCATATGAAACTGGTGGTAGGTGCTGTCCATTGAAGGCGCCGATAGATGCTCCACAGAGTGGGCGCTGCTGATGCCATGGATTCATGACAGCCATATCAGCGCCATACGAGTCGGTGTTCATCATGG